GATGGATGACTTGGAGAGCCTCGAGCTTCTGTCGCTCGTGTCCAAGGTCACGTCCGAATTGCAGAACCACTTGGGAGTTAGCGAAAAGACCCTTGCCGAGTTCATCATCGCCCAACGAGTAGAATGCGCATCATTCGACGAGTTCAAGCAGAAGCTGGCCACCCTCGGCGCTGACTTCCCGCCCAGCTTGGTCGAGAGTATTGATAGACTTGTCCTGACCTTGCACCCAAAGTTCAAGGGCCAAAACCACGGACAATCTCGCACCGATGAAAACGAGAAGCACGGCCAATCTGCTGAGGAAAAGACAAAGGTGTTCAAGGGTCTGTCCATCCCGGACAAGGAGGTGGATGTCATCGACGACACCCTGGCATTACTTGAGAGCCTCGAACCCAAAAGAGCGGAGAAAGAACGACCAAGGAAACGAAGCCGTACCCCCGAACGTGACGATTACGCAGAAGACTACGGGAAGAGGAAGCGCAAGGAGCGATACCGGTCAAGATCGAGGTCAAGGTCAAGGTCCAGGTCAATTTCGCCACCAAGAGGCCGACGGAAGGGTCGCTATGACGATGAATACGATGGTGATTTCCGACGGCCACCACCGCGCGAAACGGACGATGCCCCGATTCTTTACAAGGTCTACCAAGGTCATGTCACCGGAATCAAGGACTTCGGTGCCTTTGTCAACCTGCATGGCGTTAAGGGCAAGGTCGACGGCTTGGTACATATATCCGCTTTCGGTCAGCGTGTCAACCACCCTTCGGATCTCTTATCCAAGGGCCAGGAAGTCAAAGTCAAAGTAATCAAGCTCGAGGGAGGCAGGGTAGGCTTATCCATGAAGGACGTAGACCAAGAGACGGGCATGGATCTTGCACCGCAGTTGAGGATAGGTTCGGGCGCCAACATGGAGGCATTGGGCGGGAGAGGAGGATACGATACCAAGAATGTTGTCACCAATGGCTTTGAAGACAAGGGAGCATTCCAAGCGACGGCAAATGCCAGGCAACACAAAAAGAGGATGACGTCCCCCGAAAGATGGGAGATTCGTCAAATGATTGCGGCAGGCATTGCAAAGGCATCCGATTACCCAGAACTTGAAGAGGACTACCAGGCAACCCTCAAAGGCGAGGGACAGATGGAGCTTGAGGAGGATGTCGATATTGAGGTTCGAGACGAGGAGCCGCCATTCCTGGCTGGACAGACCAAGCAGTCCCTCGAGTTGTCACCCATCCGCGTTGTCAAGGCCCCTGATGGGTCGCTTAACCGCGCCGCCATGGCAGGTACCAACCTCGCCAAGGAACGGAAGGAGCTGCGACAGCAGGAGACTGAAGCCAAGAAGGCCGAGGAGAAAAAGGTTGACTTGTCCTCCCAATGGCAAGATCCTATGGCCAACCCGGAGACCAGAAAGTTTGCCAGTGATCTGCGCAAAAGCGCTCAAGCGGCACCAGCGGCTCCTGATGCTGTTCCTGAGTGGAAGAGGGCCGTTGCGCCCAAGGAGGTGTCGCTAGGTAGGCGTACCAACATGAGCATCAAGGAGCAACGAGAGTCTCTCCCCGTCTTTGCCTTCAGAGAACAACTGATCAAGGCTGTGAGGGAGAACCAGGTCCTGATTGTGGTCGGCGAGACAGGATCTGGAAAAACCACGCAGCTCACCCAGTACCTGGCTGAAGCCGGGTTTACCAACAACGGGATGATTGGATGTACCCAGCCTCGCCGTGTCGCCGCCGTCTCCGTTGCGAAACGTGTTTCTGAAGAAGTCGGTTGCCAGCTTGGCCAAGAAGTCGGTTATACCATCAGATTCGAGGACGTTACCAGCTCAGCAACCAAGATCAAGTACATGACCGACGGTATGCTTCAGAGAGAGATCTTGATCGACCCTGATCTCAAGCGATACTCGGTTATCATGCTTGATGAGGCCCACGAACGTACCATCGCTACCGATGTGCTCTTCGCCCTGTTGAAAAAGACGATGAAGAGAAGGGAGGACCTCAAGGTTATCGTCACCAGTGCCACCTTGGATGCCGACAAGTTCAGCGAGTACTTCAACCAGTGCCCTATCTTTACCATCCCTGGTCGTACATTCCCTGTCGAGATTCTTTATTCTCGCGAACCGGAATCAGATTACTTGGATGCCGCCCTCACCACAGTCATGCAAATCCATCTTAGCGAACCGATGGGTGACATTCTTCTGTTCTTAACAGGACAGGAAGAAATTGACACCGCTTGCGAAATTTTATACGAACGGATGAAAGCCTTGGGTCCTAACGTTCCTGAGCTTCTCATCCTGCCCGTTTACTCTGCCCTTCCTAGTGAGATGCAGAGTAGAATTTTTGACCCAGCGCCACCAGGCAGCCGAAAGGTTGTCATTGCCACCAACATCGCCGAGACATCCATCACGATTGACCACATTTACTACGTTGTTGATCCAGGTTTCGTCAAGCAGAACGCCTACGACCCCAAACTTGGCATGGACTCGTTGGTGGTCACTCCTATTTCCCAGGCTCAGGCCAACCAGAGAGCCGGTCGTGCCGGCAGAACCGGACCAGGAAAGTGCTTCCGCCTGTATACAGAAGCCGCCTACCAGTCTGAAATGTTGCCGACCACAATTCCTGAAATCCAGCGCCAGAATCTGTCCAATACCATTCTTATGCTGAAGGCCATGGGTATCAATGACCTTCTCCGGTTCGACTTCATGGATCCACCACCCGTCAATACTATGCTTACAGCCTTGGAAGAGCTCTACGCCCTCGCTGCGCTGGACGACGAAGGTCTTTTGACGCGTCTTGGAAGAAAGATGGCTGATTTCCCAATGGAGCCAGCCCTTGCCAAGGTTCTTATCGCATCTGTGGAGAAGGGTTGTTCCGACGAGATGGTGACAATTGTTGCCATGCTCAATCTCCCTAACGTCTTCTATCGTCCCAAGGAGAAGCAAGCTCAGGCTGACCAGAAGAAGGCCAAATTTCACGATCCTCATGGAGATCATTTGACCCTCCTCAACGTCTATAATTCCTGGAAGAACAACGGGTATGCGAACCCTTGGTGTTTCGAGAACTTCATCCAGGCACGTTCCATGCGGCGCGCCAAAGATGTGCGCGACCAGATCGTCAAGATCATGGATCGTCACAGGCATCCCGTCATCAGCTGCGGTCGTGACACCAACAAGGTCCGGCAAGCCCTTTGCGCCGGTTTCTTCCGCAACGCGGCTCGCAAGGACCCGCAAGAAGGTTACAAGACCTTGATCGAAGGCACGCCTGTGTATCTCCATCCCAGCTCGGCGCTGTTTGGCAAGCAAGCTGAATGGGTCGTTTATCATACCTTGGTCTTGACCACCCGTGAGTACATGCACTACACGACCAGCATCGAGCCGAAGTGGCTAGTCGAGGCCGCACCAACCTTCTTCAAGATGGCGCCGACGGATAAGCTATCAAAGCGGAAGAAGGCCGAACGGATTGAGCCGCTGTACAACAAGTATGCCGGCGCGGATGATTGGCGTCTCAGTGCGCAGAGGAGAGGTGGACGTGGTGGTGGCGGTGGTGGTACTTGGGGTTAAGTTGTCAACTTGCTGGGAAATGTTCAGGCCTTGCATCGGTTGGTTAAAAATGGTTATAGAAGCAGGCTCATTTTGAACATGTTAGTCACCCAAAATCTGAAGATAGAGAAGATACCCTTTTGTTGCTCTCACAGTGATGAACAGCCGCAGATTTGCACGATGTCTGGATAACACTTTCATATCCAAATACTTTGGCCTCCGAAGGATTCGTTTTACCAATGGAGAATCAACCCAAGTACAACAAATCTCCGGGGTCAGAATGTCTCACGAGGGGAGCTGACGCAAGGGATATCACTGATCCACGGACGGACGGTTGCGGAGACGCCTGAGATCACATATACCCGAGAGCATCGTACAATTGGTTGTACGGCGTGCAACATGAGATGATGCCGACTGTCCAGTGTACCACGATTGTTGGCATCATCAATACCGAGTCCACGAGTCCAGACTGCGGACCACCCGCTTGGCGAGTCCAGCCTCGTTAGTTCAGTGTTGGCACTATAGGGCTAGGAGAGCATTTCCAAATCGTGCAGGATGGTATTTGTTATTGACTGTGGAAAGTTCGCAATACGATCCCATACGGCCATGACGAAAGAGATTCCAGGAACACGGGCCCGGATGCGGTGCTCCGGTAGATCGGCCGGCGGACCGTGGCCAGTTCGTCCGATATCTCCGCGCAATTATCTTCAACGTCTAAGGACCGAATTATCGACACCCTTCTTATTTTCACCAGCCCACGACAGCCACAGTGTCTAACATGGAGGATCCAGTTATATTGAACGCGTCAACAGCGTTAAGTTGCACCAAGTTGAGATTTCGGGTACACCGAACTTTGAGACACCACCAGGATATCGCTATGACCACATCTCCAATATGCACAGGTGTGCACGTTTCTCCCCTTACAGAAACAGGCGCTCGAGACTGTTGTGGCGCTAGGACATTTGGCGGTTTCACCGATCTGGGACGGAATCGACATCCGTCGTCCGATGACAGCTGGTGCTTCACGAAATCACAGGCATGAACAGCCCCTCAGAGTCCGCGTTGCATTCCTGGTTGCAAGCATACAGGACTCAAGCAACATGCCGGGCTTTCTGTCTTCCCCGCGTGTCCCTGAGTTGGTACTTGGACCACGCGTTGGAATGGAAAGCTTCAGCACTTCCTTCCTGCCTGGCCGCTTCTCTGTTACCTCGTCTCGTCTGGTTGCTCGTGTCCAAGAAATAACTCGCAACTTGAGGATAGGATTCAATATCGATACAGTCTGCGCATGTCTCCATACCAGGTATAATGCGTGTTATAGCTATCACAGCTCTTCTGGTCGTCGCCCGCCAGGCCCGGGCAGCTCTCCAAGTTGACCTAAACTCCCCAGGTACTCCCAACCTGCCAATCTCTTGTTCACCATAGATACCACCATATTCTTCCACATAACCAACAGATTTACTAACACCACCCCGTGTTACCGTCGTGCCCAGACTCCATCAAACGCGCCGCCTCCCTCGTCGCCGCCGACCTCCTAACCTACTACCATGGCTCCGAACCGGGCCAAACGCCCGGCATCTTCCCCGGCCCTCCCCCCGCCGGCGACTACTACTGGTGGGAATCCGGTGCGCTCTGGGGCACCCTGATGGACTACTGGCACTACACGGGCGACTCGACCTACAACGAGCTGGTCACCTCCTCCATGCTTTTCCACACGGGCCCGCCGCTGAACGCTTACATGCCCGAGAACTACACCATATCGATGGGCAACGACGACCAAGGGTTCTGGGGCCTCTCTGCCATGCTCGCAGCCGAGGTCGGCTTTCCCGATCCGCCGGCCGATCAACCGCAGTGGTTGCAGCTCGCTCAGGCGGTGTTCAACACCCAGGCGGATCCTGGAAGACATGACGATGCGTGTGGCGGTGGGTTGAGGTGGCAGATACCGATGGCGAATATTGGGTATGACTATAAGAATTCGATTAGCAACGGTAAGTCAGGGAGTCTTAACTTGAACGTCCTAACGTCCGTCGCCCATTTTTAACAAGAAGCTGTTTCAGGTATCTTCTTCAACCTCGGCGCCAGACTGGCGAGGTACACGGGAAACGAAACGTACGCGCACCACGCGAGGAACACGTGGGACTGGATGATGGCCGTCGGGCTGATGACCGAGGACGGGAATGTGTATGATGGAGCGCACACGGGGGTGAACTGTACGGATGTGTTTAAGGCACAGTTTTCGTATAACGCGGCTGTTTTCTTGCAAGGGGCGGCGTTTATGTACAGCTTTGTAGGTTCTTTCTTTCATCCTCGACCCGTGGCGGTTGATTATCCTCGAGCAAACCAGACCGACTGATCGACTGACTGACCAAAAAACAGACAAAAGGCGAAGAACAACTCCTCTGGCAGCACCGCGTGCAAGCCCTCCTCGACCGCACCGTCGCCTTCTTCTTCCGCATCGGCCCCATCATCGAGCTCTCCTGCGAGACGCCCACCGTCATCATCTGCAAGACCGACATGCTGTCTTTTAAAGGGTACACGCACCGGTGGATGGCCAGCACCGCGCAGCTCGCGCCCTTTACGCGGGACACCATCATGCGAGTTTTGCGCAACTCTACGGCGGCAGCCGTCAACTCGTGCCAGGGCCCCCTCCACAACGGCCGAGCGTGCGGTTTCCGCTGGACGACGGGTGGGTATGATGGCTTGACGGGGGCGGGGCAGGAGATGAGCGTTTTGGCGGCTTTGTCATCGTTGCTGGCCTTTAACGAAGAGGGGGGTGAGGATGAGAAGACGGGTAAAGGTGCCCCGCTGACGGGGGAGACCGGAGGAACGAGTAAAGGCGATCCGCACGCGGGGACGGGGAAGGGAGGGGTTGATCCGACGCAGCTGAGGGAGGTGACGACGGGGGATAGGGTGGGGGCGTGGTTCCTTACGGTGTTTACGCTGGGGACGCTGGTGGCGGCGTTTGTGTTGATGGGCACGGGGTGGTTTGAGGAGCGGGAGGGTGAGGCTGCGGCTGCGGCTGGGGAGAAGAAGAATAAGGAGAAGGAGGAGGAGAAGAAGAAGAAGTTGTCGATTTGGTACAAGATTGCGAGGGAGGTTATTTTCAGGCATCAGGGCTGAAGTCTACTCTTGTGGGGCGATGCTTGGAAATGCTTGGTCAATTATTACCTTGGGTATGTTGGAAGTCACCAAGGTCAGTAGAAGGTCTTGTGGTATTAGAACCTACCTCTAAGCAGTGAACGACATCCTTTCTATGCGGATATGGAACAAATCATCCAAGCTGGAGCATATAAGCATTTGATGCCTATGCCTTATCAAAATCAAAGCCAAGGGCACCACCAACTATTCTTGCAGCTTCGTTAATGGCCTGGATTTGGTTCGTGATCAGGAGATAGAAGCAGAGCTTCAACCGCTCAACTCTCCTGTCGAGATGACCTCAGGTTCCCCCCTCAGCAACGGCCGGGAAGAAGGCCGGTCCGCAAGGGCAAACGAAGGAAGGTCGGGTACGACCTGCCACCTGCCACCTGCCACCTGCCCCTTCGAAGCCCCAGGGCCTAAGCGTACCTTCCTCAGGCAGCAAACCTGCGCACCTGCACAACCCGCACATCTTCCCTTAGTTTATAACCCCCCTTCCCTTCCCTAGTTTTGAACACCTCCAGCTGAGAAACAATGGTCCCGTGGTGTAACGGTTAGCACAAGCACGATTAGGCGGAGCTTAAGCCATGGTAGGGCGAGGCAGTAAGACTGAAAGGCAGGTCCCGGTTCGACTCCGGGTTGTGGCCATCTCAGCGAATTTTTTTTTTTTCAGACATTTTGCTTTTGGTTCCTTCCACTCTCGTTCCAACGCTCGATTGATTGACTCTCGAACTCTCGAAGAAATAAATCTATGATGCTGTTGATAGCAGTCGTGGCGGACATGCCCCTGTCGACTGAAGTCCAATAGAGCGCCCAGTTTTCCCATCCAACCTAACCGTCATAATACTATGTGGCAAGTCGAGCGAGGCATATGCTGACAGTCTCGATGATGTGACCAACTTGACACCATTTTGAGTCGCGAAGAGAAAAAGGAGTGTAGCCATGACTGTCTCTTATACCTTTTGAGGTTATTGTAGTTGTAGGTATGCCAACAGACGTTCAAACACCTGAATGGGCACTGGAGCTCTCTCTCCCTTGGATTTGCCCCACAGAAGGCCGGACGGGAGAAAAATCGACCAAATACCAAAACGCTCGTTGGACACTCCTTAATTTGAAGCGCTCAACGAGTGTTATAATCGAGGGCCCTCTGATGACAGGATACATCGGTAATTGTTCATAGGTGCTAAACCATTATAAACATTCTTCTTGCAAGTGGTTGTGGTGGTTCCCGTCGAGAAGCACGCAGAGGTAAACTTTGCCCCTCATATATGTGGACTTTTCGTTACAGCGGGCTTACAGGGAGATTTAGTGGGCGGTTAGTGGTGCAGTGGGTGTATTGCATGAAGAGTTGAGGGGAGAATTCGTGAGGCATGAGAAATGGCTTCACCTGGCAGGTCCCCTAGGGAGGCGAGCACAACATGTATGACTCAGGTTCACAACTTATTACTCACGTCTTGAGGTCCAGGATAGTGCAAGTATTGGCTAGGGAGATCGCATGCTGTATCCTTTGGCTAAACGCCGCCCATTACCGATGGTGGCTGGCTGCGTATTCCTCCTCCCTCGTCTTTTTCTTCTTCCATCTCCGTTCCATTTCTACAATTGTATCGTTGGTAGCGATTTACAGACCATGAAACACACGTCCTCTACCTGTGTCCATCAGACTGGTGGTTATATATTTGCTATCCACCGCCCTTTCCCAGTGTCGGCCATGATTATGAACAAGAATCATGTATCTCAAGTCAACATTAATCCTCTGAGACTTCGTCTGCCCATTCATGAATCTCAATGCTGTTCCGTTGACGTGCAGTGAACCACCAGTTGATTATGCCTCTCATGGGGTGGCATGTCATCGCGATTCCTGGAAACTGGGGACAATCGTCGAAGGACCAGCCCGCTTCGTCAGGATGTGCTTCACTCTCGATCTCGGACTCCGTCACGAAATGGATGTTCGGCGTGTCAAACCCTGGGAGTATCTCGCACTCCAGGCAAATGAGCTTGGGGTTGATGATCATATCGCCCGCAAGTTTGGCGCGGTCCTCGAGTCGAATTTCTCCGACCACCCGCGAGCCGCCGTTGTCGTAGTGAAAGATGATCCCCGAACAGACACGTTGTTTGGGGCGTTTCGGATGCGAGGGATAGAAAAACATCTGGGCGGCAACGACGCCGCGGAGGGGAGCGCGAGTGTAGAAGCGGAGATCCTCCTCATCGTCCAAGCTGAACAGGCCGCTGGGCCACAGATGAGGAATCGTCCCTCGCCAACCTTCCCATTTAGGTTTTGCAAGACGAGTACCCCGATAGCCCCCCAACAGGTCCAAATACTTTCTCTTACCCAAAAATCCGTAGACCAGGGCTACCGGATCACGTTGGCCCCACATGAAGTCACGTTTATCAAAAAAGTCTTCTTCATCCTCGTCAGGGCCCTCCCAATTGAAGTTATCCTCGGGCGGTTCGAGGCAAGGCAGGCCGATGACAGTCTCGCCAGACAGACGTTTCTTGACCTATAATAGGATGGATATGTCAGATATTTGAATGATAGCACGATAAGAACTGGGAGAGTAGCGAAAACAACAAGTATCTCCAGGAGCTAGTGCGGAAATACGTGGGCGAGTGAAGCTGAAGAAGGTAAGGCAGCAAAAGAGGGAACCTGGGGTGTAGGAACGTACCACTACCACAAACGCATTCTGATAATCCCCTACACCTATTCCGAGGATGGTATCCTCCTTAGTAACAGGCAGGAAGAAGCAGGCTTCCTGCACCCTGGAAGAGCCGGAAGCTGAGGTTTTAGGACAGTCCATCTCAACGTCATCGCCGCGATGAGGGTGTATTGCCACGAGCTCTTTGCCGCGATAAACAAATATAAGGCCAGAGATAGAATCTAGACTGACATAATGCCCGGTTGAGAAGACCTCGAATAACTCGTGGTGGAACAAATTATTAGACATGGTCAAGTCCGGAGGCGTGGGCGTGTCCCAAACGCGTGGTAGGAAGGGTATATCCATATCATGATCATGGTCGTAATATTTATCGTCGGCATCGAGGAGGAGTCGCAAAAGGCCGTTTCTGCAGTAGACAAATCTACGCGAAAATTCGTCGCGCTTTGTGTCCAAGAGAGCGTAGGCGAATCTTCGATTGTTCATTTGCCAATCTTCGCACTGCGGTTGCTGGCAAAACCGCTCAATCTCTCGGATTCCATCCACGTCGAAAGTAAGTCGGAGAACATCGTGTTGACCTCTGGGTCCTATTGTCGCTATTTCTTCGCCTCTTTCCCAGTGCAATATGTGACGTATTTCCACGCGTTGCTCAGCAGAGATTGGAAGGTCGGGCAGCGAAGATGCAACTGTCAGAGCGGCGACAGCCCGCCAGAACAGAGCATTTCCTGGTAAATACGATCGGATTCGTTCGACCAATTCCGAGGAAAAGTTGATAAGTTGGGGAATATTGATGATTGAAGCAACTTGGTTGACAGCTTGTAGGCTTATAAGATATAGGCTTCTAAGCGAGAGGGCTTTTGGTAGCTAGAAACCATATAGCCACAGACTCCTGGCCACAGCCAGTTCCCAGATCCGTTCGCACGCAAGGCGGGGAGCGAGCGGACATGACTGCTTCGCAATCACGAAGCAGTCCTTATGTACCGCAGTGGCCACATAGAGTCTGTAGGGATCTGTGCCGTGCTCGGCGCATCCTCGCCCTATGTGCCCCAGGGAGCACAGGTAACAGAGATTTACTTCTGTTTTCTTGTCCAGGTATACATCCAGAAATTCAAGAAAGGTCTTGGGAAACGCAATTGTAGCAGTGCGCCCCAGATATACCATTCTATTCTGGCACCCGATTACTAAACTCCAGTCAGAGAAGGCCACCCAAAGGGATGCGCAGGAAAAGGGAGTTGTACAAACAATGACCGGGGTCTCTAGCTCGATCGTCTCAGTGCAGACCCCACAGCGCGACTCGAGCTGAATGATATACATTGGCTCGCCCTCGGAGGAGGACCCATCGTGTCGGTCGTCGGTTTCGAGGTCGGTAGCCATAATGATGGCGTTGTTCGTACACTTTGTTGTCGGCGGTGATGTTTTGATTCGGGTCAGGAAACCGATTGCCGGGGAGATAAAAATTTGTACGTTTCAAGTCACGACTCGCCTGCGTATGCGGATGCAGTCGCGTGCGCGCATCTGGCGGTCGGACCGGCGGAGGAACATTCGGGCAGGAAAAACCCACATTTTGGAACTGATTTGTATTTTGATCTGTATTTGATTTGGTTTATTTGATTCAAGTTGATTTGAGTTGAGATGAAATACGATTTGGCTTGGCGATTTGAGTTGTCGAGGACGAGGACGCTGGACGCCTGCAAAACCTTTGCGGGGTTTTAGGGATATAAACCCTGCCCGGCAGGCCTGTCGTACCTGCCTCACCTCCGTGATCATGTGGGGATGTGAAGGCAGTTACCGTTGCCGGGGGAACAGCTCTTAGATGGGATGGTAACAACTTCGCCAGTACTTTGACGCCAATGAAGATAGTGCGTTAGTATAGTGTTCTGTGCCAGCAGAGCATACTTAGCCGCACTGTTTTGTAAGTATGCAGAGACATGTCGATGCCCAACGGGCCGGCACATCGTCTCTTAATGGCAGTGACCCCTCACCTGCTGGTGAGTCTTTCCTCAGCCTGGCATTCCTTTGAAGTCATTGCTGGAGTGCACCGTTTGGTTGGGCAGATACCAAGCAAATTAAACCACCAACTTCCCGACATTGCTGCTTGTTTCTTCGTCCAGTTCACGTCTCGTTGCATAGTCCTTTCACATTTTCTCCGCAACACCCCCTGGCGAGGTCCCGGACCCGGTCAGTTGTGATGGCTTCAATATACACGGAAATACAGCTGGAGGGGAATTCCGACAGCATCCGCATCCTCGAGCTTGCCCCTCTCGGCCCTTCGCTGTCGACCGGTGTTCTTCACGGTCGCCTGACCAGAGCTTACCTGCACCGAAGCCCCGATTACACTGCTCTCTCGTATGTTTGGGGTCCGCCGGAGTTTACGCACTCCATCACTCTCAACGACTCGCACACGGTGCCCATCACCGAGACACTATTTGACGCGCTTAAAGAACTTGCTTCGGACAAAGCAAACGCTGGGGGGCTGTCATTATGGATCGATCAGGTCTGTATCAACCAGACAGATGACTCCGAAAAGGCTTCTCAGGTTCAGATGATGTCAAGGATTTTCAGGCAGGCAAACCTCGTTATAGGATGGTTGGGTCCAGCCGACACTGATAGTAACGAGGCCATGGATCTTTTCCGCTGTTTCTCTCTCAACACCTCATCCCCCGAGAAGACAGAACTGGGCCAAGATTTGCGTCACAGATTGAAGTTGGAATGGACGACGGATCAAGAAGGCCGCTCTGTGAACCCTTTGGAACAGGAGAGAAACAGTGCCGGGCTTGCCTGTGTGGCGATCCTTTACCGACCATGGTTCAAGAGGCTCTGGATCGTTCAGGAGCTGGTCTTAGCGCGAAAGCTCGAACTTCGCTGTGGCTCTGCAACAATATCTGACAGCCAGTTCTTCACAGCGCTGGAATCATCTGAATGGAAAGGTCGGAAAAAAGTTGGATCTTTCTCAAAGCCCCTAACCGAACGTATATCTTCCTTAAGGAGGCTAAGAGATGACCTGCTCACCAGAAATGAGCTGTTGTCATTTGTCTCTCTTGCACACGACTTCCAGGCGTGGGACTGTGGCAATAACCATGATCGACTCAATGCTCTCTACGGCATTTCAGCCTGGAAAAACGGCAATAATTCCTGGTTTCTACCAGATTACAGCATCTCGGCGATGGATCTCTACTACCGTTTTGCTGAAGGTTACCTGAAGCATACTACTGGCGGTTTGGATATCCTTCGTTACGCAGGCCTCGGCTTTTTTTTGGCCAGCCACTTGCGTCAATCGAACGGTGCCGAGTGGACTTGTCCTTCATGGGTGCCTGACTGGAGAATAAGAAACAGGGCAAAAACTTTGTCTTTCTTAGGACCTTTTGATGCCACTATCGACGAGGCATTCTTCAGGGTGGATGAGACCTCCAAGACACTTAAGGTACGGAGCCATCGAATGGACAGCATCTCGAATATGCCTCAGACCATATTCTCCACTACCGATAGGACAATTATGCAAGACATCTTTGCATTATCACAGAGCTATACCGGTAAAAAGATGGAAGATTTTGTATCAGCAATTACCACGGAGGGGCCATTCAGCAGACCAGGTCAAGTGTCTAAACAGGATCAAATGGTCGAAGCTTTCAAAGCGTGGAAGGAAAGACAGGAAAGACTCGAATACGTCTATGCTGGGCATGATGAGTCCGAGAGCCTGGGTGTGCCGTACATCCCTGATGATCTGGCCGACCATTTCGCGGCTATGGCTCTTGGTCTGTTCCGCAACAGATCGTTTTTTGAAACTACTAACGGCAGGCTGGGCGTGGGACCTGCTCATGTCAAGGAAGGAGACACTATTCTTTTCATATATGGACTACGGACACCGTTTGTCGTCCGGAAGTGTACCGCAGATTTGTCTGACAGTTCCTATATTCTTATGGGGGACTGTGTTGTGAGCAGGTACGAGACGTATGAGCTAGGTCGGGCACGTTACTCCTCCTCCTCCTATTTGCATCGAGAGATAACACTTGTGTAAGCTGTAGCGTGAATAATCGGCCTTTGAAGAGACAGTCTAACCAGCAATTCGAGGAACCTCAGACCCACTGGGCATGTGACGGAATTAGTTAAGAGCAACTAGAGGTACCTAGAGGTAAATAAAAAGTGCAAGTTGGAACGAATCCAAGTCATAGCAAAGTCTCCCGTTATTCATCTACCAGCCTTTTCAATCCAGCATGACCAAAGGTCTTACATAGGGCTGGATCTACCCAAACTGGCCACGCCTGCATCTACCTAATTTCTGTTCCTTATATCCTTCATAACCATAACCACCTGCACACTACAACTCAACCGTCTCCCATACTTCTGTCTTCTTGAGACCGCCTTAGATCCAGCTAAAGGCCGGGACGCACCAGAAACTGCGAATCTTGTTCTCCGGGTCCTGGGTGCAGCCGTCGCCGCTCTCGGAATAGGGGAGATCAAAGTGGTCACCAACACCCGGCTCCTTATCGACGCAGGTTGGGGTACTGGATAGCAGTAAGACGCAGATGTTAGCTTGGTTTCGCAGATGCAGCAATGCGATGATGGGTTTCCTTACTAGAAGAAGCGGCAATAAATTCCCTGGTCAGGGGCGACGGAAGGAACTCCCTTGCCAAGGCTGACTACATTTGAAGCCTTCAACTGGCATTCCATACAACAAACAACAGTAAGCGGCACAAAACTGGTAAACTATGCATACGAACTCTAAGAGGGTATATCTTGTTACCCCTTTGGGTTTTGTTGTAACACCGGCCAAGACTCGTGACCAGAACACTCGTATATAGAACTATATGGTCAGTATTCAATGTGTTTGCTACATCACCTTGAGCCGGCTGTGTGACGGGCGCTGCCGGTGGTGGCAGACATCTAGCTCAAACCCTGAGGGAGTGTTCATATCTTCCTTCTCTTTAGCCCGGATATAACTCCTGAACCCGCTCCCAAGAATACGCAGTCGTTCTCCAAGTGGGAGTGTCAGGGCTGGCCTCGCTCTGAACTTGGATATTTATCGGTCTGGGACAATAAGCACTTGTGAACAAGGTGGGTTGTGCCTCGATCCCAATAGAAAAATCTCCTTTGTTCAACGATTGCCAAAGTAACAATGCATTGTGATATCCGCCGTTATTTCAAGGAGGCTTTGAGTCATTTCATTGAGCTGCACCGACATGAAGCTCCCCATTGCAGTCGTGATAAAGCATGTATGCTGAGGTAGGCTGCCTGGGGAGCTGAGTCTCTCATAAGTCACAGAACGGGAGTGAAGATTGCCGGAGACAGATCAGTAAAAGAGTCCCCAGTCTCTGGTTAATGAAGCAGGTGGCTTGCTCTTACCTATCGCGCCTCGCCCGCTCGAGCCTAAGACGTAAACATCAAGCTCGAATCCGCAGACTTCCTCGTCCTATTATCTCTGAAGTCGAACGTTGAGGTGTCTTTGAGGGAGGAAGACTTTCCTGAGTAAAGCTAAACCATCTAAAAATACCGACGGCCCAGACGTTGCTTGGTCTCGCTTCCACCACAACACAATGTTTCCATTGTCCTCATTGTCAACAAGCTCTCGACAAGCCGTCGACAAGCCGATTGGCATGACAAAGAGTAACCCGCAGAGCGCAAAGACATTATATAAAATCCTGTAGATGCCGCGATCGCATGAGGGCTCCCGCCCCTGGACCTGAACAGATTAATTGATTGTCCGATTTCTTGACAAGAAATGAGAAGAGCATTGTTTGAACAGTAACACAGCCAGATTATACCCACGCAGCAAGCTCTGAGTGAACAACACCAGTGAGACTTGAACAGCAAACACAACGCAAATCAACGAAACTCAACACACACACACACACACACCAGCGAGAGGGAGCTTACACTCCAGGTCAGCAGAGCTTACCCTAGCTAGCTTACTAGCTCCAAAGAGAAACCCAGATCACACTCCCAGACAGACAGCCAACGCTCGAAAGAGCCAGAGCCAGTCCAAGCAACATTACCTATGGACGGTGACCAGCCGCCCCAGCCCAGGCCTCGGGGACGTCCAAGAAGGGACGCCTTCGTCGGTCCACAAACTAGGCCTGTAACTTGGGCCGATCGAAACCTCCCACGTCGTCAGACTCGCGCTCAGCGAGAGCGTCTTCAAGAATTGGCCAATGGAAACCTCCCCCATTACGAGCTTGGACATGATGGGCGGCAACGCCTGTTGAATGGAGACCGGAATCGCGCTCAGAATCTTCAACAGCTGGCCAATGGAAACATCCCCCTTATAGATCTTGAAAACAATGACCAGGCACCTCTGCTGAATGGAGGACAGCCCGAGCAACCGGCGCCAGAGCCCCAGCCCGAGCCGGAGCCGGAGCCGGAGGAAGAGAACCAAGAGCTGGAGGGAGGCCGGGAGCCTGAACAAGAGCAGGAGCCAGAACAGGCCGTAGTCCAGGAGGGCGAGGGATCAGGATCCGACGAAGACATAGAGCGAGGCGGAGGTTCGAATCCAGATGGAGGTGCTGATCCCAGTGACAGCTCAGACTCTGAAGAAGGCTCAGACTCCGAAGAAGGCTCAGAGCCAGCCCACCCCCGAACACCATCCCCCCCTCCTCCTCAGACGCCGCCAGTCCGCCTCACCCCCAACTCTCCCGCTTCTCACCTCGATCCATTAGACATCCAGGACGCGCCTCCCCCAGCACCACCAATCCTCCCCCCGACTCCCCCACCACCACCCGTGTTTTCTTCCCCACCCCAACCTGCGGTCGTTGTCAATCTCCCCTCTGGAGCCATTCCCCCACCTCACGGTGTCAACGTATCGCCCAATGACTCCGCCGTCGATGTCCGGACACCTGAACCTGAACCTGAACAAGCTCCTCCCCAGCCTGTATTAGATCCAAATGTGTGGGATCAAGAAGATGATCTAAAAGACGATGATGGTCTTCTTGGTCTTGGTCATGGAACACCAGGACCAGGTATGCCTGGCTTTGTTGATCCGCAGCAGCCTGGCTCTCCTCTTGTATTAAATGAAGGGGGAAACTGGGCTGGAGACGATGGATTTGTAGCAGGGGGGTGGTCTGGCGGCTTCGCCCAGCAGCCGGGGCCTCAAGCAGTCCCGGTTGCTAATAATAATGAGGATGGGTGGAATGAGGTAGAGTGGCAACACCCTAATGATGTGGAAGAGTGGCAACACCCTGATGATGGGGGAGAGGAGGAGCAACACCCCAGTGAAGGGGGAGAGGAGCAACGCTCTGATGACGAGAGTGAAGGTGCAGCTGCACCTTTTGGAGAAGAACCGTCTGACAGTTCGTCGTCGTCGTCGTCGGATGAAGATGCAGCTGCTGCGCATGACCGAGGAGAAACGTTTGAAAGTTCGTCGTCGTCGTCGTCGTCGTCGTCGTCAGATGATAGCGATGCCGAAGGAGAGGGCCGTGGTAATGATGAGGAGCGACGCGACTCCCCGGAGCGGGATGGCAACGAATATCAGCCCATCGACGGTGAATGGTACTTCAATGATAGTGAAGAGGATCTGTTCGACGATGGAGAAATTAGCGAGGGTAGTCACGGCGAAGCAAACGTCGGTTTGGACCTGCCAGATGATGAGGACGAGCAAGAGTTGCCGGAGTTGCCGCCGTTGAATGATCAAGCACAGGCACAAGCTCCTGCTCCAGCCGGCCAGGAGCCAAGATCATTAAGTTCGCTTCCTGATTTCGACGACGCTGAGTGGGAAGCAAATGAACGGGAACTGCAGCGCCGTAACCAAAGGAACAACCCGCTTCCCTGGTACGAGAGGGGCCACGCGGTACAGCGCCAGCCCCTGGGCGACCTCGCGATACTGCCCGAACGCCTCCAGGGCCACGACTCTGTCGAGAATAACGCCCTTCGCTGGTCCAGACCTTCAGTCGACTTTGGCCGCCATAGCCGTGCACCATCATTGCCGTCAGACTGGTCTTCCGAGGGAGAGGGTGAGGTAGACTACCCAGAGGAAGAAGAGGAGTCGAACAAGTCTTCTTGCACCGGCTCGTCATCAACATCGAAGTCTGGAGGTTCGTCCGATAGTGACGACGAGCTTCATCCCATCGCCATGCCTGTGAATGGTACGAACGTTAGCTCCGAAGGTTCTTCCCAAGGTCGAAGCTCGCCCATTCACCGGCAAGACACTGAAACACCTCCTTCTTCCCCGCCGCCTCGCCAACGACCTGATACCCCCTGTCCTTCTTCGCCGCCCAAGAGAAACCGCAAGGAAAAGACGATTCCGTCTCCCTTGGATCTTGCCCCCAATTCCAGTGAGACCGGCATCAACAGCCGCGATCTTGAACTCGACATGGCCGCCCGAACAGCGCGCTCCAATGCGCCTCCTCCGTCGGCTGGCATCACGACGGCCGCCACAAACACCAACTTAGGTCAACAACAACCCCCTACAACCCCCAGGAAATCCCCTACCACCCGCAAGCCCTCCCTCCGCCGCAACAGCGCCGCACCCTTCCACCAAAGCGAACACCCCTCCACCACCGTCTTCCGCGAAGACTTCACCTTCGTCCCGCGCGATGGTCGTCTCTCTGCACCCAGCAGCGTCTCCGGTGATGACGGTAGTCACATCATGCCCGACTACATCGGGCAAGGTGACCAGGACATCAGCCCGCAAACCAAGAACCCGCCCAAGGTTCCTCGGACGGGCGTCGCAGTTCCGGGCACCCGCGAGGCGAGGGTGCAAGTTGGTGGTAAGGGATTCCCGCAGGTCCACAAAGACAAGGGGGTTAAGGTGGTTGATCCGGGCGATGCGGAGTCTTCGAGCGAGGAGGAGGAAGAAGAAGAAGAAGAAGAAGAAGAAGAAGAGGAAAGGAGTCCGACTAGGATGAAGCCGAATCGTCGTCGTTCAGGAATCCACTGTCCCGCGTTTTCGACAGAGAGTTACCTGCAGAGGCAGGAGCAGCAGAAGGAGCAGCGAGAGCGACAAGAAGAGGAGAGAGCAGGAACCTATTACCAGTACAACCCCAGGTACGACGAGGGTTACACTGGGGGCCTCACTGGCAGTGCCGTGCCCGCGTGGATGAGCGCGGAGCCGGACATTTTAACTCCCACGTCATGGGTGAGTGAGGCATCGACTGATAGCTCCCTCGCTAAAACCTCCGTTTTTTCTGTAAAGCGAAGCATATCTTCGATTAGCGATTACGATGATGATTCCGACGAATCCAGCGGTAGCCCAGAAAAGAGGCTTCGCCCATCTCCTCCTGCTTCCCCGAAACGGCCACGCCCTTCTGACGAAGACGAGGTGGAGGGTGATCGTTCCATCAAGCGACCTCGTACGGAGCCATCAGTTTCATATAAACAACAGGGTTTGGGCGTCAAGTTTGTGGGTATCGCCAACCAGCAAACAGATGACGTGGACTTGCAAAGTTCTGAGGTCGGAAACTGGGAGGAGCAGACACAGTACGACCCAGCGATGATTGAGAACGAGGAGTACGATCCCAGAACAGTTGGACTGCCTCGAGTTCCAGGCAGCCAGGGCTCAAGGTCCTCGGCGAGTAGTGTCGCTGGGATGGCCCAGAGCCGCCGCGGATCCATGGAGTATGATCCGGCAAATGAAAGGGAGGATGAAGGGTATGATCCTCAGCATCCCTGAGGTTGGTCACGGAGACTCTTTTAGAGTGATTAGGTAGTCGCCATCGAGTGCTTCGATAGCAACAGAAAGGGCTAGGGTTTTGATACCAATACGAAGCGACGGGAAAAGAGGAGGTCATGATAAGAGGCGTGATGCAGGAAGAAGACGGAATGACAATAGATAGCTTGGTGCAGTGACACATGTCCTGCGATAGCATATTAGTTAAAGATTATGGTTTAAAAGGAGTTGAGGTTCATTGGGAGATGGGAGATGGTGTTTCTGGCGTACTTCATGGGTGCAAAATGTGATTCCGCTGGCCGGATGGAGAGAAACGCACCTTGCTTTTTGTTCGTTCTATGCATTTTTGGAAACCGTGTTGATATTGAATATTGTATCACCTCATTGCGCAACCGCCTTAGGCAAAGTCCGTCTGTGTATAAACTCTCGTCTTGCATTTTCATCCATGTCCCCCTGGGTATCTCATTGTTGGCCACGTTGCTCGGGTATAAGCCTTTGTGGTCGGACTCGACCTTGGTGTTTTCAAGGGAATGCGAATCCGACTCCCCTACTCCTCGTCCCCCGTTTTCAGGCGACCGTTCATCATCTCTCTCTTCTTTGCCCCCTCTTTATGGTATCATCGGCGGTTTGACCATGCAGCCTTCAAAGACCCATATCCTCATCACTATCCTCATCCCCATCCCCACCATAATCCCCACCCCTCCTAGCCTCCTCCTCCTCCTCCCTCCTCGTCGCCTCTGCGCTGGCCCCGATCTTCCGCACGCCGTCCACCAAGCCCGCCAAAAAGGCTCTATTTTCAGCCAACTCCATAGCGCCCACACCACGCAGGGTCAGCCAGGCATCACCGAAGCCCTCCAGCGCTGACGTACTGCTGCGCATCTTGGCCGCGCGCACCTCCACCAGATCCCGCAGTAACGAGCGTACCTCGCCAGCCGGGGCGGGCATATCATCGCCGGCGTGCGTGAGCAAGGCCTCAGCCACCTCTAGCCAGTGGTAGGGGAGGTATCCGGCGGGGGATTCGGCGACATTGGAGGGGAGGAAGGGCGGGGATAAGATGGAGTTCGGATCTTGTTGGGAGTCTGGTTGCGTTTGCGTGAAGTCATCGAGATAGCTGGGGTTTAGCCGGCGAGCGGTGCCAGGCTGGGAGTACAGAGCGCGCGAGGGAGGAGGTGGTGGCGGGGAGAAGGCTTCGGGGTCTTCTTTTGTTTCGCGGTGGATGATTTCGGCGAGGGAGGCGGGATGCATCCATGCTGGGGGAACGATGTTGGCGCGGCGCTGTTTCTTGAGGAGGAGGGCGAGCCAGAGGGGCAGTTGGGCGCGGTGGGGAGGACGAAGCTGTGGTGTTTTTCCCTGTTGCCCGTGCGGACAGTCGGTCAATCGGTGTTCCCATAACGGGGAATAGGTTGAGCGAAGACAACTTACACCAAGCAGGTCGATGCTGTCCAGGCGCTGACGTGGGACGACGGTTACCATTTCCATCTCGGCAAGGAAGGCGACCTCGTTCTGGGTCAGCCCTGGGGGCAGTGGGAGCGCCATTGTGTTTCCGTGGCTGTGTAACAAAGTCGCAAGAGAGGGTATCACCTCATTGTTGCTCGGTTTCAGCGTCCGCTGGCTCGACTGAGGATTCGGTCAAGTTGTGAGGGGGTTGGAGATATGCTGGCGCAAGCGATGGTGTTGAGATCAAAAGATGGAATCGCGTCTCCGAGTTCCTGACGTTCTGTCGAGAGCAGTGACAGACGCGCCCGGGCCAGAATTCGCGGGGCACATTTACCCACTTTAACTGTCTTACAGTGCATCTCACAGGGCTGCAAGGGGTGTTCACGGGATCCCTTGCTTTGGGCCTGTTGATCTGGGCTAGGGTTCTGAGACTATGGATATTCAGGTACTTCTGCTCCGTCAAACATGAAGACTTCACTTCCCCAAAAACATAGAAATTTCTACTTGTGATAAAATTTACCTTTGCCAGGCGATAATCCATTGCCGTCTTGAAGAGCTAAGCATCCTGAGTTCTTTGCTTCCTCCGATTATTTGATCGTGGCTAAAACAATGGTCAAACCCGAGCTGCGTTCATATTCCTCAAGCAGGAAGTTCTTCTCACATCGCTGGCTGAGAGTATTTCTGAACAAAGACTTTGATTCATGCTATCTCTACCCCGACGCTTCGGATACTATATAACCATATCATGACCTCGAAAATCGTCCAAAAATGAAACAGATACGCCGTCGCTAACCAGAAAGTCAAAGATAAACCATGAGAACGAAGAAAAACGAAACATTTTGCTAGCAACAACAACCAGATGATGTACCCCACCACCACTGAGGTCATTTCTTCTTACTCCTCCTCTTTTCCTGTTTTGCCAGCCCATGCCTCCGCTGACGGTGACGGGTCAGATGGTCTTTCCTAGCAAAGTCTCTTGGACAATGTGGGCAGGGGAATCGCTTGACGGAAAGGGCATATTGCTCTGCTTGGTCCTTGTGCTGAGCTATGATATGTCTGTCCAGTTCTGCCTGGTAGGCATGACCCATGCCGCACCCAGGAATGGGACACTTTACTGGTTTCTCCTTTCTCCGTCGACGTCGACTGTGATTGACGGCGTTAGTGACTGGACTGGGAGTAAAGAAATAAAGCCTAACCTGGGTTTTACTTACGCTGACAACTTGGGACTGTGACCTGGTTGATCTGTTGGGGCTGGGTGGCTCTGAGCTTGTTCATAGGACGACTCTGTGTGTGCTTGAGGATCCTTGGGTAATAGGCCGTCCATGGGCTCCTCAACTGTGAAGTCTGACGCCGCGTTAGTGAATACAACCGGAGCATAGGCATCCTGAAACTGTATTCCATTCGTGGAAGCGTCTCTGTGATCGAGTGGGATGTGTTGGAGAGACATGCTTGGCGTTGTTGCTAGAGACTCAACAGAGTGAGGAGAGTCTTGAGATGGCACGGGCGAAAACCCCAGAGAAGGAGTATGAGTGTATGTCGGGGAACCAGATGAGAAGCTGTGAGCCGGCCTTTCGTATGTTAAAGGATTTTCTGGAAGACTATTGTAACCTTGAAGATCAAAATAAGGGTAGAATGTTGACTCAGTAGTGCTTGATGTTTGTTGACATGTATCGGAGGGAGGCATGAAAGTGTGGGCTTGGGATACGGAAGGGGTTTCAAGTCCCTCGAGGATTGACCATAAGCTGTCTTCAATCCACTGTTCATCATCCCAAGCCCAAGGGGCCTCTTCAAGAGGCACCTCTGGTGAGGTGTAATATAGTGGTGGTTGACTCATTGTGACAATCACCAAGCCAGAATCCGAAACTCGGAGTCTTGCGTTGGGGTTGTACAAGTGGTGTTGTTGATTTTGGGATTTTGTTGTAACGCTGTTATTCTGTTTATTGTTTGCAGTCCGAAGCTTTACGGATGCAGTGTTGACCTTTTCACGACGTGCCCAGGTCACGCAATCTTTACGAATCCAATCAGTCAGCAATCCACCTCGAAGACTCTCCTGATTCTTTCGTGGAATTTGCATACCTGGTCCAAGAAAAAACGCTGGCTTATTTCCCTCCATCATCTCTTCCCTTCATTGTCCCGTGGTGCCATCACCAAGCGAGAACCTCTCTCTTCAGAGAGCCATGTCGTTCTCACAGCCAATTCTCTCTTTGAAGTTGATGATAGTGTGCTATCCCCTGCCATACTCACAAGGCTTCTGACTGCGAGCACGAATGCCCGACAATCTCCATTGTGAGTGACCGAGGCTTCATACGTTCTCATTGCATTCGCCGGAGACGGTTGGAGTCCGAAGGCCCTCCAAAGAGCAGATCGAAATCGTCCAGACATCCTATTGAGAGAGTCTGCCGAACCTAAAGTTGGGTCAATCTCCTTGCACTATGGGGTGTATGGGAGGTTTGTACGTACAAACAAGTCCGGGAAGAAGAAGATTTGCCTGTCTCGATGGCCTATGGGCCTTTTGGGGAGCGAACAGCAAATCGAGCAGGGAATATTTGCAATCCGAGACAGGTAACGAACGGCTTGTATTACACCCTGGAGATAAATACGAGCCGTTCGTTACGGCTGGCGCCTTGCCTCTCTCGGATTGCAGATATTCCCTGCTCGATTTGCTGCCGCGAGGGGTTTCGGAGGCGAAACCCCTCTGTGGTTCTGGTGCTTTTGCTAGTTTGGTTAGATAAGAAATGGGTGTATTGAGGGATGCGTGACCTTTGCAAGCAGTGTCAACAGCAGGAAGAACAGAGGGGAGTGAGAGGACAAGGTAAAGTGTTGAGGAGATGAGGAGAGAAGGGAAGAAAACAGGAGCAAAAGTCAGGAGGGAAACCGTAGGATTTAAACAAACCAAAGCCCCTCACGGCCACCTCGACGAGACCTTGACGGTTGGCTGAAGATTGGCAATTGGATGATTTGGAGGTTTACAACTGCGGGATGGCAAGCTTGCTGCGGATCTCAGGCTGACTTTGGGGTTGGGCGGTCTGGCAGTCGATCATTGGTGTGTTAGGCGACAGATGTTGGTCGGTACAAAGGTACGTACTTGGGTAAGTTTAATAGGCGGGGTAAGTACCGAACCTTACACAACCAGGTCGTTCCGAAATGGGAACGGGATGTTATATTGCGAATATCTTAAGGATCCCTTTTCAAGCAGACGAAACATTCTATCCCGGAGGACAGACTTGATAAACAAACTTCCATTTGATCATATAGATTAGACGTAGCGCCGTTTCCAATGTACAAGATACGTTCTTGGATGAAAATAGAGAGAGCAAGATGTAGTAGTCTGTCGGACAGGGAGTCGAAACCAAGACTTTCTTATGAGCGATTCGATAGCCGTTTTTATGTGCGATTGTCGTTAAACTCGAGAGGTGTGTGTCTTGATCGTAATTACGGAACCTGTCGTGTACACCTTTCTCTTTTTTGGTCCCGCTGCCAATGTAGATCAAGGGCGGCTCATTGATACCCTCGTTTTGCTCCGGTTTCTCGAGGATTAGAAGGTGAATGGTGAAAGCGTAATCGTCGGTATATGCAAACTCAGGCAAGGACTTTAGCATGTCCATTGTAGGGGGGTGGGGCGCTTCCAAGATTGTTCGAAGGTTGGGGGCGAAATGTAACTCGAGGCCGAATATTACATCCCATAGTGATTGTTTTGATGGGATCTGTTGCCTGATTTGGAGGTGGTTGCGTTTACCGGCCTGTGTAGCATATGCCGTATATGCTTTGTTGAGCAGACTGGCTTCGAAAATCTTTTCGGGTGGCGCCGCCTGAAAGTCCTCATCATCGCTCTCATCGTCGCTCTTATGGTCGCTGTCATCGTCACCATCCGAGCTTAACCAGCTTTCCTCCGGGTCATCGTCAACTTCGTTGTTGCGTCCACCGTTGCTTGACTCGTTATTGCTGATTGCCGTCATGGCAGCCACCGGGGCTCTGGTTGTAACCACCGGCATGGCTCCAATTCATGGATGAGAACAACTACGGAGAGAAGAGGAACAAAAGCAGAGAGAACCACCAAGGAGGGTAAAACATCCAGCACCAAGCTCCATACTTCCTAAAGGAAGGAACACCCAGTAGCAACAGCAGAGTTTTCCAAAGGAAAGAGCACTCGACAGCATCTCACAATGATTTCGGGCATGGGCAGGCGCGAACTTGTTATTTTGTTACATCCGAGTCACAGGTTGGCAAGCGCTACTCCCTACCTGTGGAGAGGCCTTTGGTCGACCAAAGTCCGAGGCCACTTCAACTCCCATGCTATTTGAATGAAATTGGTGAAAAAATGAGGTAGAGATCTCACGAGACCTAAATTAGTTCTTTCCATTGGGTAGAGCTCATGTCCTTGAGGAAATACGATAGAGTGAATCGCCGCAGTGTCGTCTACCGACTGGATTTAATCCCTATCACAACCCTAACCCTACTGTACCTCTCTTCCCACTCCCTCCTGAACCACTTCCTCACCAACTGTCTCATCATCGTTAACATCACCATCAAATTAAGATTCCGGATTCTTCCCTTTATTTCCCCTCTAACATCGATAGTACACCCAGCCATCTGGAACCCACCACCACTTCAGCCTTTTAGCTCCCTACTGCCTAACCCTAGTGAGGAGCCGCATACGGCACAGTTTCCCAAGCACTATCGTCTATCCCACTAATCGCACTGTTGAAGCCATCACCAATTCTTGGCATTCTTGGCACAAGTAGATACGATCCACACATACTTACCCTATATATAAATCGGACTCTATCCTCCTCTTCCCTTTACTCTTTTCTCTCTCTTAAATTAATTAAAACATTTACCACCACATTCGTCATCTCACGTAATCACCTCCTCCGTATGGTTCAACAGGTTATAAGCCCGGTCACGCTATGCGTTCCGCAAATAATAACTAAGTCTATAATCCTTGCCTACCTCCCCCCTTCCTTCCCTTTTTCCCCCCTTATTACCTTTTTTCTCTTTAAGAAAAAAAATACTATTCGTATTCCAAAAGAATTACGCTTCTTACCGAACGTAAATACTATTATCAATTATAGCCGTTATATATATAGTTATACTTATATAGATTATACGTACGGACTATTGTATATATTATACGTATAGAAAAACCTTAGTAATTTAAGACGCGGGGATGTTTTACTACGTTATAAATATATTAGATTTTTCCTAATACTTTACTATTATAGAATTTATTACATTTTATAAAAATCTATTATCTTTATTAAAATTATTCGATTTTTAACGTATTACGAAATTTTATTTACCTTTATATTAACAAAAGCGCAATTTACTGAATAAAAACCGCTTTCGCCCATTTTCACTATTTAATTAATATTCTATATACTTTATCATTACCGCCGCTTCGCCGGCTATAATATTTATTACTTCGCTCCTACTTTATATCGTAATGATTTATAAATCTTTTAATAAGTCTGATATTTATATTTATATCTATAATTTAGTATAATTACCCTATATAATATCTTTAATAAAATTATAAAGTATACTAATATAATTTCTAACTATACTTCACAAAACTACTATTTACCCGCCGCTATTTTAATTACTACGATTTTATTTATCTTTTAAAAGATATTTCTACCACACCTTAAAATTTCCACGAATCCTTCCAAAATTCAACTTTTACCGCACTTTTATTACAATCTTTTACTACTATTTTTTCAGTCCTTATTTAAAATTTAATACTACTTTTACCCCCTAATTCTATAAACTTTTAAAATTTTACTATTATAATTCCTCTTCTAATTCCCGCTCTCCTACTACTATATTCTAATATTTAGCCCTACCGAATATCTAAATTATAATTATACCTAATCAAGATTTCAACAAAATTATTACCCTCCTAATTTTTGTTAGCGGAAATAATAATTATACTATTTAATACTACGCCTTTACTATTTATATTTTAGCGCGCTCTAAATATAACGTTATTAATAATCCTAACCTCCCTATCTATCGCCCTAATCTCCTCGAATAAAAATATTACGAGAAAATTAAGGATTAGAAGACCGAATAATATTAATAACTCAATTTCTTTATTATTAAAATCGCTACTACGATTTATAATAAATTTAAAAATTATAATACGAAGATAATTAAAGAAGTTTTCTAATAAACCTTCGATAACTATTGCTCTAAATATTCTAAAGGCTTTACTAATATTTTAATTCGGTTTTACGTTATTACCCTTGCTATTTATGATAACGTTACCGATTACGCTAGTTAACTATAAATTATTTAATATAAACTCGCTAAAATAAATCCTAATTATTACCTTCTACCCAGTTCTATAGTAATCGATTATTTTATCTAATATTTAAATCCCGTATATATTACCTTTATTTCTAAATTCGGTTAGCAATACGTTATCCTACTAGAGTAGGATGAATTTAATAAAATTACTTAATCCCCGGTTATATTTAATAGGGCTAAATGTATTAGGGAAATTAAAGAGGCTCTAATTAAACGTTAATAGGCCGGATAAAGGGATAATACCGATAAATTAGTATTTAATATAGTAACTTAATTAAAGGCCTTTATAATTCAATACGTAATTAAAATTATTAAAACCGTCATTAATATTAATAATAAAAAATTGTATAGTACTAATAAGGAACGCCCCTAAACACCCTACTCGGCATATAAAATATTAAATTATAATAATTCCCATTATAATATTTAATACCTTAAATACTATAAAAACCCAAATTAATTTATAAATTAAAAGGATAGCGACCGACTCCCTAATAATTCGACCGCTACGCTATTAATAACTACTTTCGATAATAAAGAATTTAAAGCTAAAAATATAAAAAACTTACATTCTACTAAGCGCCCCCGTTATAATTAACAAACCGGTAATTTATAACTTATTATTAACTTTTTAAAACTTATAAACTATATAATATTATCACGGGGCGCGAGCAAGCACTAAGGTAAGACTTTGATTATTGTACGAAGAACAGGAAGAGAATCCTATGCGCGCACGAGAACTATGTAGGGTATAGGGTGTAGGTCTATGGATATGGACCCACCTAGAATAGCCATACCATCACATAACAATAGTCTATACCCAGACTACTAAATATACTACAGCTAAACAGCTATACTCAATTAGCTATACCATTGTAATATATATATATATATACCTATATATAGAAATAAGGTAGTAATGCTTGTGATACTACCCCCCTCTAAAATAAAATTCCCGCTTAAAAATCCGTTAAGAGCTCTTTTTTAATACTAAAGTGGGCCTTCCCGCGGGTGCGCCTAATTAAGGGCTATAAACCCGTATACTAAGTTGGGAAGCCGGTTAATACCTAAACTTCTATTTAAAAGCCAAATACTAGCCAGAATATTATTAAATATACTCTTTCTATTAAAATATTTATTATTATCCTAAATAATCCCAAATAGCCGTAAATAATATTCTAATTACCTTTAATTATTCTTATAACCGCTACCTCCTTTTTTTACTATCGCTAACCCTTGTAAAAGGGTACTATAAGGGCCTTATAATATAATAGTGTACGAAGACGCTCAAAGCGCCGTTACTAGTATAAATGATATAGAGACCGTATATTCGAATCGTATTTATACCTCTTTCTTTCTCCTCTTTATAATATAATTATTAAAACGTTCTATTTATTTATACTAATATTTTATAACTATTATATATCTTATCCGAATTACGGAGACTAATCTAAGGAGACTTACTTATAAAAGTCCTATAATATAATAAAGTAAAAAAATTAAAATATAATTAAAACGGGCTATCACTCGGAATAGGTTTAAGAAATTTATTTCTAAAGACCTAGGATAGAGCGTACTTTATAAATCTTAAACTCTTTTTTATTAATTTCTTACGCTTTATTTAATTTTACGCTTTATTTAATTTATTAATTATCCGCCGCTAATATTACCATCGCTAGGATTGTTAGAATTTTATCTTCTAGCAATATTTTTATTTTTTACTAAATCTTCTACCCTTTTCTAAAATCCGGGTATAGAGGGCTAAATTCTAAATACTTATCGTAAAATTATTAAAGTAATTTGTAATAACCGTTGAAATTCTTAGCCGGCTACTAATCGGGCGGATAATAAATTTATTTTACTGAATCCTTCTAAATACCCTCGATCTTCTAATAATTTATAAACTCTTAGAATTCCTAACGTTTATTTTCTTCGAATTTATCCCTCCTAATAATAATTATATTTTTATTTATTTTAATACTTATTATTAATTTCTTTTAACTTAGGAGGCCTTTAATATAAGGCTTAACCCGGGAAATATTAATAATGTAAGTAATTTTTATATTTTAGGGTAAGGCTAATTCTACTGTATACGAACTAACTTTTATAATACGGAAAGGACCCTTAAAGTGGGGTATTAATTTATTGTATAGCCTTCCTATTATATAGTTAGCTATATTTAATATTACTTTATTACTTACTTTATATTTAAGGGCGTTTATATAATAAATATTAATTGCCGCTTCGTATCGTTCTTAAACTTACTTCGTTGAACCTTTAATAAAGTTCTAAATTTCCTTAAAGTAGTTAATTAACTAATTAGCGCTAAATATTTACTTTTTCTATATATTTATAGTATTTAGTGGTATTAGGGTAGACGGCTCTATACCTATCTGGGGATAAAACCTGTAATTATTAAAAATCGGAATTATATTAGTAAATATAGACTTTAAATTATTACCCTAAAATTCGGCTAAGGGCAACTAATTTACCTAATCGTCCTATATCCAATTAATAAATATATTTAAATACTACTCTACTTCTATATTAATACGTTCTATCTAGCTATTTATTTCCTTATAGTATAATATAACGAATTTTAATTTAATACCTAGCCTTTATAATAAATATTTCTAAAAAGCCGATATAAATTAAATACCCTTATCCGAAATAATTATATTTAATAACTTATAAAGGGTATAAATATAATGAATAAACTTTTCAATTAATTCTTTAATTATTAATCCTTTTATTAGGATAAAGTACCTTATTTTAATTAAATATTTTACAATGATTAATATATACTAATATTCTACGCCCCTACCCGCCCTTTATAATTTAAGAAATAAAATAACGTAATCAATTAAAATATCTCTCCATAGCGCGTAAAGGATTAATAATCATTTAAAGAAATTAATTAATGAAATTCTCGTAACTTTAATCTTACTATACGGTATATAAACCCTATAATACGTATTTACTCCTACGACTATATTTAACTACAAAT